TAACTGTTTAACCGTATATTATATGCAAATGTATAGTTGTATACTCTATTTGTGTATTTTCCCATCCCTTGCTTTAGGTTATTCATGAGTTCTGCAGTCATACATTGCTGTACTGTATGTTTGTGCAAGTGTTGTTTTCGCTCAGGGTTTTCCCGCTCCTGCGCGCTGCGTTTTCCCGCCTCCAGCCGAGCTCGTGTCTGCGCTTCTGCAGCTCCCGCGGGGGCGAGCGTGTATTTTTGGCGGGAATGCCTCGCGTTTGACAGCTGCCGGTGGCGGGAACGGGCTGCCCCGGAGCTCTCCCACGCCTAGACGATTCACCGGCTCTGAAGCGACAGAAATGTCACCAAAAACAGATGAATCACGTGCGGAGAGCTGTCACATGCGCCTCGAGGGTACCCTTATAGAAAACCCCATATTTGGTCTTCCGGAAACACAAAGCTGATACTGATTTGCATGTTAAGTGGGTCATTCGCCTGTTTCTGCCTTCATTTATTCTGCCTCAAGATGCTCCAAACCTCTGTGAGTTTTGCTGAACACAAAAGAAGATATTAAGAAGAATGTCTGGGCCATAATGCAAAGTAATTAGTTACTGTACTTTAAATTAGTTATCTGCTCAAAACGTAAAGTAAGGTCTTTAAAGTAAAGTTCAGCTCATTTAATCACAGTTACTTATTATAAACCTCCTTAAATACAAAACACAAACTCAACAGTTCTTTATTATTCAATTTTTAAAAGCATGGTAATTGTATTTTTTGATATAGAAATATTTTTGCAGAATAATAAATGCAACTTTCTTGTAAACAAATGAAGACAACATGAAATAATCAATAAAGAAATTAGTTCATGACAAGATATGGTATAAATTCAGAGAGTCGAACATGTAAACATATATATTTATCTAGATGATATACATGTATACGGCTTTATATCTATATAGACCAGGGGTGCCCAAACTCAGTCCTGGAGGGCCGGTGTCCTGCATGTTTTAGTTCCAACCCCAATTAAACACACCTGAAGCAGCTAATCAAGCTTATTCTAGGTATACAGAAACTTCCAGGCAGGTGTGTTGAAGCAAGTTGGAGCTAAACTATGCAGCCCTCCAGGACTGAGTTTGGACACCCATGCTCTAGACTAATCAATCTAATCTATATAGACCATTTCAGCATGGTGATGTCATTGGCTCATCAATATTTCCTGCTTGTTGTCAAACTATTAGGTTAGGACCATTGATATTGTTTATATCCTCAAAAAGATTTCTACCAGGGGTGTCTAAACTCAGGCCTGGAGGGCCGGTGCCCTGAAGAGTTTAGCTCCAACCCCATAGATATATACACTAGATATCGCATAAGGACCCTGAGCATGCGTCAATAGCGCCGCCACATTGGTACAGTGCTCCCAGGACAAGTGTCATTCAACCGCACTAGTCAAGACAGTGTTATTACGTGAAGATGCGGGACTTTAGCGCTGTCTACGGGTGTAGTAACGAGCAAACAAAGAAAACAAAGCACAAAGGCAGAACATTTCATAGGTGAGGTTTAGTTTTTTACGTTTTTGTATGTTCTGAACTTTTGTGCTAATCAGGTAACGTTATTGATGATAACAGTCACTTACTGCATTCAGCATACGGCAAAGCAGCAGCAACTCACACTGAACACTCGGCTTATGCTAGTTTTGTTGAATAAAATCAGCAAACAATGCAAAAGAAATATGACAACGAGATGCTGCGCTGCCAGAAACGTGTATTACTGTCGGCTAGTGAAGGAATCGTTCATAATGGAGATTCATTCAAAAACTAATCACTCCCTCCGTCAGTATGAGCAGTGAAAGCAGGAGAGGAGCTGTGTTTCAGGACACGATTAGATCACATTTAACCTGGAGGGTGGATAGTACATTTCCACACACACAAACATGAGCTTTTTATCAGGAATGCCCGTGCGGTCACTGATCCATCAATGTAGAAAAGTGATATAAAATTATAATTTTCGTAATTTAAAAAAGAAATTTAGCACACTGACCACTGGGAAATCTCCCGATCACAGATATATGTGTATATGTGTAATTCTCTGGCTCTGGATGGTCACAGTCCTCCACTGCACCTTGGTCCTACATTCATTTCAAAGGAGCGCTACCCTGTACTAAAATGGCGGCTCTATTGACGCATTCCTTCCAATAGACAACAACAGGGCAGGCGACATCTAATGTATGCATCTATGCTCCAACCCTAATCAAACACACCTGAACAAGCTAATCAAGCTCTTTCTAGGTGTACTAGACACTTCCTGGCAGGTGAGTTGAAGCAAGTTGGAGCTAAACTCAGCAGGACACCGGCCCTCCAGGATTGGGTTTGGACACCCGTGCTCTACACAGTACTCAGCATTTTTAAAACTATTTTAAGGTCAAAATTATATATATATATATATATATATATATATATATATATATATATATATATATATATATATATATATATATATAAAATATTTTTTTTTGATAGTCTACAGAAGAAACCATCGTTATACAGTAACTTGCCTAATCACCCTAACCTGCCTAGTTACCCTAATTACCCTAGTGAAGCCTTTACATGTCACTTTAAGCTGTATAGAAGTGTCTTGAAGAATATCTAGTCTAATATTATTTACTGTCATCATGAGAAAGAGAAAATAAATCAGTTATTAGAGATGAGTTATTAACACTGTTATGATTAGCAATGTTGAGGAAATCTGCTCTTTACTAAAAAATAAACAGAGGGTGAATAATTCTGACCTCAACTGTGTAATATATATAGCACTTTACTGTGGGGCGACACCGTGTGGCTCAGTGGTTAGCACTGTAGTCGCACAGCAAGAAGGTCACTGGTTCGAGTCTCGGCTGGGTCAGTTGGTGTTTCTGTGTGGAGTTTGCATGTTCTCTCCATGTTGGTGTGGGTTTCCTCCGGGTGCTCCTGTTTCCCCCACAGTCCAAACACATGCGCTATAGGGGAACTGATGAACTGAATTGGCCGTAGTGTACGAGTGTGAATGAGTGTGTATGGGTGTTTCCCAGTACTGGGTTGCAGCTGGAAGGACATCCGCTATATAAAACTTATGCTGGACAGGTTGGTGGTTCATTCCACTGTGGCGCCCCCTGATTAATAAAGAGAATAATCTGAAGGAAAATGAATGAATAATTGTTTTAAGTTGTGTTTCTATTTTATTGTATTTTATGTGTGTGGTGTTCAGTAATCTGAGTTTAAATGTGCTCTTCGGTGTTCACCAAAAGAAAGAAAAGGCAATAGACTGCGTGCATGAACTTAAAACAAAACCTGGGTCACTGTAACCCAATATTGGGTCAAATATGAATTTTTTATTCAGTTTTAAATTTAATTTAAATAACATTTTAACTACTGTTAAAGTAACTATTGTTAATTAAAATTTGAACTTTTGGGTTTGTCCATATTAGAGCATTGGGTCCAGCAATATTTTAGAGTGCATATTCAGGCATAGTTCACCCAAAAAACGAATATTGTGTCATACTCACCTTCACTTGAGTATCACCTTCACCTTTGTGTTTCCTAACTAAAGATGATATTGACATTTTATATTATATTTAAAAATGAAAATGTGCTATTTACTCTCCCTCAAGTGGTTATAAACCTTTACTCTGCTGAACACAAAACAAGGCAGTTTGAAGAAACCCTTGACTTCCATCATAGGGAAAACAGATACTATGCAAGTCAATGGTTACAGGTTTTCAACATTCTTCAAAGCATCTTCTTTAGAGTTAAACAGAAGTAACTCATAAAGGTTTTGAACTAGTAAATGATGACAGAACTGCTTTTTGGGGTGGATTATCCCTTTAGGGTTTATTTTTCCGAAAGCAGAATGCATGGTGAATATGAGTTTACACTCACTAACTGAATGGATTTATCTCGTTTCACACAGCAGTGCAGCACATCAGGATGACACGTGCATCCAAACACCCTCGCCATCTGAATGAGCTCTCCACAGGTGCTGCAGGCTGGATTCTGGCAAAATGTTATTATCAAAAGGCCACCAGAGAAACTTTATGACTCATATCTGAAAACACAGAGGCATGCAGCTGCAGCGCAACTGTGCGACACGGCTCATCAGCGGCTCTGGAGAAATCAACAGTTACATAACACACACACACACACACACACACACACACACACACACACACACACACACACACTCACACTCACACTCACACTCACACTCACACACACACACACACACACACACACACACACACACACACCATATAATAAAATTCATTTAAGGCACGCTTTTAGCTTATGATCGAGATCTCTCGGCGTTTGCATGCAGATGTGTTTATGTAACACAAACTCTGGGCGACGCATAACTGTGGTATGAAAAGTGGACAAACGTGAAGCTCATCTTCAGACTGTTGGACTGCTTTAGCATCACATTTATTGCATGCAGCGCGCTCAGGAAGGCTGTGTGCATGATGTGTGTGCGTGCATGATGAGTGTGTGTGTCGCTGTCCGCGGTGCTGAAGCATCATCTGCAGATCAGCCTCCGCTAAACATCAGGAAACACCCAGAGTGCTGCACATCAATGCGACGCAGATGCAAAAACAGATGCTTGACATAATCAGTCTAGATCTCTGAATGCAAGCCTCTGTTCTCAGCCTTTACGGCTCTGTTATGTGCGCTGCGCCGCTGCAGCCGTTTCCCGCGGATCAGCTCATGTGTTAAAAGTCGCTCTCCCCCTCGCACTCCTCCATAATGGCCGCCTGTCATTCACAAGCGTTTTTCCGCAATGGTCTTCAGGAAAGTCTCCGCTACGTCACGCCCCTGTGCCCATTTTCGGAGGGGAACCCCGTCACATCCTCTGCCCATATTTGGGCAGGAGCCGTCCAGAGTCAGCACACGGCGGGGAATCCTCCTGCCGACGTAGATGAGCGGGGGGCGTGGCCTCGGCGGAGCTCAACAGTATAAAAGAGCGACGAGGAATTCCGGTAAACGAATCGACGGAGAGCAGAACCTGAAGGAAACCAACAGCAGCTCCGAGGAGAAAAAAAAGGGGAATCCCACAATCATCACCTGAAAGGATTATCTATTCCCTAAAGTGGATTTTGCTCTGTTTTGACCTCCTCATCCTCAACTTCATCATGCTGAACACCGTGGACTTCAGCGCTCTGGATCTGCTCTGCGCTCAGACTCTTCCTCAGCCTGCGCCTCACTGCCAACCTGATGCTGGTGAGTACATGATGATCACATTTAATCATCTATATACACTCATGTGTCCTCAGCTCATCTGTAGATGATGGCTAATATAGTGAGGAGCAGATTTAATGAGTGTATTGATCAGTTATTGGAGCATCAGTGTGATGTGCTGCTTATGTAACGCTCCTCTCCTCCTCTTCCTCCCTCAGCCTGCGGTTTGCTGAAGCCCAAAGCGGAGCCTGTGGACGCCGGTTTCCCGGACTGCTCCTGCGACGGGTTCCCGCCGTCTCCGCTGACCTACACCGGCAGCTTCTACACGGAGAGCGGGCCGTGCAGCACCGACGCGCTCCTCAACATCCTCACGGAGATCGTCGGCATCTCCGACAACTTCTGCGGGAACTCTCGCGCAGGCGCGCTGTCGCGGCAGGAGTCGCTGCTGTCCACCGGCAGCTCTCTGGGATCACCGGAATCGCTCTGCAACGACTCGTCTGACGAGTTCGCGGACACGAGCGCGCAGCAGCTTGCGTTCCCCGCCATCAAGAGCGAGTTCGGGAGCAGCTGCAGCGGAGGAGACCTGTTTGATGGGTTCTGCACTTCCTCTCACGAGCCTTCAGATCTGGATGACATTATTGATCTGCTTTCTCCACTCGGTCCTGAGACGGACTCGGTTTTGGACACTTGGATCAAGCAGGAGCCTCTAGACTTCCAGCTGCCGGTGGCACCGGCTCCTTCACACGAAAACAGCCTTTACATTTCGTTTCCTAACGCGTTCGGACTCGCCGACGCGCTGGATTCCCTGCTCGCCACGAACACGCACGCGCAAAGGAGCAAGCCGCGCGCTAGGAAAGGCGCAGCCCGCGAGAAGCCGTTCTCCTGCCCGGTGGAGAGCTGCGAGCGCCGCTTTTCCCGCTCCGACGAGCTCAACCGGCACGTGCGCATCCACACCGGACACAAGCCCTTCCAGTGCCGCGTGTGCCTGCGCTGCTTCAGCCGCAGCGACCACCTCACCACGCACATGCGCACGCACACCGGAGAGAAGCCGTTCTCGTGCGACGTGTGCGCCCGCCGTTTCGCGCGCAGCGATGAGAGGAAGCGGCACATGCGCGTTCACCTCAAACAGCGCGAGCGCATGCAGCAGAAGACTGAGCTCCTCGGCGCATGCGCGTTCTCCCTCGTCTGAGCACCGGGACTGCGCTTTGTGTCCCGTTAAACCCGTCTGGGGAAGTTTAAGGCTCGAGCGCGGCTCGGTTGAAGAGCCAGAGCAGCTCAGCGGTCCGGAAACCGGAAGAGTCTGAAGTTGGTCGAGCATCACACCTGTGTTGTTAAGAACTTGGCATGCTGATGATTAAAAGAAAACAAAACGAACGCTGATTGGTTGTTTGAGAGGCAGCACTTCCGGTGGACAGCACCTCAAAGACTACAGCAGTGATGGAGAAGCTCAGATGTGGATTATCAGTCTCTGCATGTCTCGATGTAAACCTGTACTTGTCTTACACTGCTGTACCGCGCCGGCATGCGACATGTGTCATCTCCAGTCTTTTACCTTGTCGTATTTTGATACATGACTTTATAAAGAAGAGAAGAAGAGCTCTATATATTTGTACGTTATTGACTGTAATTTTTGTATTGGTATTTTCAGGAGATCTCCGATTATCTATCTTATAGATTTGCATTAAGTGGCTGATTGTATTCCACTTTCGACAGTAGAATGTGTTTGGTTGGTTCTTGGGAACCTGATCGCTGTAAAGAGTCAAACTTCAACATGGTAGTTGAGTTGCAGTAGCACATTTACCTGTGCACATTCACCTGCCGGCCTTCTGGCGGGTCCATATTATTGTCTTTATTGGCTTTGAAAACTGTTCTTGTGCAATGAAATGCCTTGTGGATATTTGAGGCTACTGAATGTTTCAAATAAAAACTTATTTATTGACATTATTCTCAGCCTTCTGTGTGTTTGTGATGAGATCTGACTTCCTCTGGACACACCCGCTTATGATTTATTAATGCAGATTTCCACATGCCACAATAGTGTTGACAACAATCATTTTAAAGTGTAAGCCACAATAAAAGGGGGGAAATCCAGCGCTGGTGTAATGGAAACGATTAAAAACATCATGAGTAATCTATTAACAGATTACATTTTCACAGTAGAAAAAAATAACTAGATAAAACAGCGCAATATGTTTAAAACTAAAAACAAAAATACATAAAGAGAAAAACAAACTAATAAATAATCAGTGAAACTCAAATAAAGAGAAACTTAAACATTTTGGTTTTGTTGTGTAAAAACAGAGAAAAATAATAGTTCTCTTCATTTATTGCAGTGGTTAATATCTGTTAATTTAGCCATTAAAATTATTTTATATACAGCTAAAGTCAGAATTATTATCCCACTTTTGATTTTTTCTCTTCTTAATATATTTCCCAGATGTTGAACAGATTCGGGAAATGTATCACAGTATGTCTGATAATATTTGTTCTTCTACAGAAAGTCTTATTTGTTTTATTTGGGCTAGAATAAAAGCAGTTCTTAACTGTTAAAACACCATTTTAAGGTCAATATTATAAGCCGCTTTAAGCTAGATTGTTTTCGATAGTCTACAGAACAAATCGTTATACAATGACTTGCAAAACCAGCTCAACCTTGCCTCACTTCCGACTCTTTAAACATCTTCTGTAGCAGTGGTGTAGTCCTTGCTATACTCACGTATACTCAGTTTGCTTACTTTTTTCCATGAGCTGTTTGGGTATTACCACTTCTGAGGATCAATAATTGAGTATACCCTCAGTAGACTCACTTGTTTTTCTGATTAAACTTCCCTAATTTACATGTATTTGCGTCCCCTTCAACTGTATACCAAACGGGGTTTTTTTTAACTCACAACCTAATTTGTGAAGATGTGCCCATCTCCTACAATACTTACTTAAATATATATATGACACATTTTTCTTTGTTTAACCCAAAAGGATCTGATCCTGATCCACTCTAAAATCCTAAAATCGCCCCTGTAAAACAGTATTTCACATTTGTCTTAATTGTGCCTCTAGTGAATGACACTATACCGTATATAACACTAAAAACAATTAGGCAAAGACTACTCATAAATCGCGTAACAATGTGCAATTTAAAGGGGTAACTATAGTATATTATAGCGACAACAGAAGACAGACTCCTAATAGTTTGGTTTAAAGCAAGCATGCACGAATGTGACAATTAAAAATAATTGCTGATTGATGTTTACAGGAACCTATAAAATGTAAAGTAATAAGCCAGTAAAGAAAGTAAGCTAAAAAGCTGTCTTTCCATGTATGCACAGGCCCTTTTGAGTTAACTTAAATACAGGTAACTGATGTAAAAAAAAAAAATAAATAAATAAATAAATAATAATAATATATATATATATATATATAAAATCTCCAATGAATCGAAGAAACATTGACTTTCGTCGTTTCTTTGCCTACTTTCATTTAAAATTTGGGTGTAATAGTACACAACCTTTTTTTCTAGGACACCACTGTTCTGTACAACATCTTAAAGGACACATGCAATTGTTTTTTATAATCTGATCTTTTTATGAACGTGATTTTGTAGTTTTGTAATATTGTTTTTGTGATTTTTGCGTGAAACTTTATGTGCTGCCTGCCATCTTGACCAGGTCTCAATGGAAAAAGAGACAGTACTGTCTTAATGGGATCTCCTGGCTAAATAAAGGTATAATAATAATAATAATAATAATAATAATAATAATAATAACAACAACAACGCCCTGTTTTTGAATTTGCTTATTTATTTATTTTCCATTAGTTCTTTTGTCTGGACTCATTTCTAGATTTTGGTATCTTGCTTGAAATTCCTGTGCAAGATTGGGATAATTCTTTGATTTTGTCAAAATAAATTGCTGCGCATGGATTTTTTTGTTATGTGAGTCTCCATCTTGTGACAGGTGTGTTCTGTAGACAATCTTAAAGCGGCTAATAATATTGACCTAAAAATGGTGCTTAAAAAATTAAGAACTGCTTTTATTCTAGCCGAAATAAAACAAATCAGACTTTCTACAGAAGAACAAAAATATTATCAGACATACTGTGAACATTTCCTGAATCTGTTCAACATCATTTGGGAAATATTAGAAAAAAATAAATAAATCAAAGGGGGCGAATAATTCTGACTTCAACTGTAAATACACAGAAAAGGGAAAAATCGATGGCAATATATTAATTAAACTCTTAATTGGATTTTTAAGAAAATGTTATCAGATTCCACTGCACAGCGAACACAATGTGGGCCAATTCAAACTATTATTTAATTACGACGCATCAAATGTATTAATAGACACAACTGCTGCGTTCACCAATCACACCTCTTCATTCCAGCTCAAAGCCCTCATAGAAACACACCGGAGCAGCTTCAGCACCACGCGTCACGTGGACAGCGCCGCGCGTACACAGCAAACATGCGGCGCGTGCTCGACAGTGAGAAACTGCACAGAGATCAGACAGCCTGCACATCCACAGCGAGAGAGAGAGAGAGAGAGAGAGTGTGTGTGTGTGTGTGAGATGAAGATGAGCTTCTTTCTTCATGCACAATAAGACTTGAGGCGTGAAAGTAAACGGTTCTGCTTTATTTCACAGGTTTAGCGGCTCATTTTGACAGAACTCTAGGGTTGATCATTATAGCATGAATAAACCTCGCTCACTTCCGGCCGGAGACGCCGTATTCCTTTTATAGCAGCTGGGGAATATCTCCTTTATTTTACACTCCTCGAGAAGAAGTCAGTTCCGCCCAGAACCGGGAGTGACGTCACAGGCGACGGCTCGACGAAATCCAGTTCAGAAGCGCGCCGCTCAGTGCAGGACAGCAGTGCCGACAGCAGCCGGGAGAACTGGTGGGTTTCTCTGACAGATGCATGAAAACTGTTATTCTCACACCTCGTGCTCACAGTGTCAGGCTGGAGCTGCATGCCTGTATCTGCATGGAGGGTTTACTGATTCAGCTTCATTCCGATGCGCGGCGAGCTGCTGTAGGTGTGACCTGATTTACACACGACCGAGCAGAAAGCGCTGCGTTATTATATTTCATCAGTGCATGTTTATTCTGGACTGTGTTTGCTCATGATGGTGGTGATGGAGCTTTATTCGGGGAGCAGCTTTTGTCTTCTTCATATTCATGCGGAAATAATGTGGAGCGCGCGCACATGCCTGAATTCCGCGCGCGCACGCACAAACACGCACACACAGTTCATGAGCGTGAACTTAAACCGGTTGACCCCGTGTTGAAAATTAAATATGCATTAAGCAGTTATCTGCTTTTGTTACCTGATATTGTAAATATACATGGCTGATCGCAATAGTGGGTAGCGATATTATCTTAAAATATAATGAATTTACTTTTAAATAATACAAATAATAGCCAGTTATCGCTAAAATGTTATTGTTTGTGTGATATCCTCAATTACACATTCAGCTTTAATCATCATCATCAAATAATGAAGTCTAATTTTCATCTTTGTGTGTGTGTGTGTGTGTGTGTGTGTGTGTGTGTTTGCTCCACTAATTGTAACTGTGATATTTCAGTCTTTCTCATTCACTTTTTAAATACAATAATATGATAAAAAAAATGAAGATAATTGTGTTTTAGACATGCCGTGTGGAGTCTGCTGTGAGGTTAGCATCTGGAGCTAAAGACCAGCATGATGGAAAATGTAGACTGTTATTGTTCAACAAAGGGACAGCCCAGAAACTCTACCCCACACTCTCAGAAATCAAGGTATGTGAGCTGTCACTGGGGGGGTACCTTTTCAAAAGGTGCATATTTGTACCTGAAAGGTCCATATTAATACCAAAAAAGTACAAAAGTGTTCCTCTTAAAATTTGAGGTACTAATATCTACTATTAAGCTACCAATATGGACCCTATAAGTACAAACGTGCACCTTTTGAAAAAGGTACCAACCCCAGTGACAACTCGCGTACCTTTACTTCTGGGAGTGTAGATACTGCATAATAATAGGAAAATAAAAATGAGGTTAAATTCTTGTCTGGCTTGCAAAATGCTTTCAATGCTAAAAGAAACGCTGTATTCTAACTTAAGTTAGGTCCAGACGGAATCTGCAGACATTTTTTGCTATTTCTGCAGAGAATTTTGGTAAAAATCTGCAAATTTCTGCTGAATTATTTTGAGAGTATCCAGCGGAGTATTAAAACTAAAACCTTAATACATGAAATAAAAAGTAACACCTTTATAGCTTTTATTTAATGTTTAAAATGCAAATCCAATAAGACTCACTTTATTTGGTAAACAAAGCAAGTCTCTTATATAATATCTTTACTAAAAGACAGAGCATATTACTTAACAAACTGTGTTGTACATAAAGCAGATGAACATTTTCATAATAGTCAATAATATTGCAGTAATTCATTAAAAACCTGAATAAATGTAGAATTACACACATTTACTCAAGTAGATAAACAGAATTAATGATGGGCTAAAAATCTGCAGAAATATGTGGAATTCTGTGGAAAATCTGCGGAATTCTGAGCGTGCAGATTCCGTGTGGGCCTACTTATGAATAACAACAACAGTGATCAATAATAATAGGACTCGTATCCAAAGCAAACTGATATCAACAATATAGAACAGGGGTGTCAAACTCAGTTCCAGGAGGGCCGCAGCTCTGCATAGTTTAGTTCCAACCCTGCTTCAACACACCTACCTGTAGGTTTCAAACAAGTCTGAAGGACCCAGTTAGTTTGATCAGGCATGTTTGATTAGAGTTAAAGCTAAACCGTGCAGAGCTGTGGAGTTTGACAGCTGTTATTTAGAAGCTCTTGTTGAGAAGCTCTGGTAAATCTTTGTGTTTTTGTTTTACAGGTGTAATGATTCTGCATGAGACTAATCTGGATTCAGAGACACTGAAGATAAAGTCCTGAAAAAAAAGACTAAATCAACTCCGAAACATTTTCACAATCTTTTAGTAGGTTTTCAAAATTATATTGAAGCATCTCTTAGATTCTCCTAAAACACTACTGAAGAGATCCTGAAATGATAATGAACCACTACTGAAACTACTAATTCAGTAGTCAGGAAAAACTGCTGAAACTTCAAACATTCCTAAAACACTAGTGTAAGAAATGCACATGAAGCAACTGTGAAACAAACATTCCTGAAACAGTTCTAAAACAAACTGACCTAAAAAAAAAAATAGTAAACACTGCTGAAGAAAACTGAAATGATTCTGAAAAAAATGTAAACAAACGTTCCTGAAACTGAAATGCTGGAAAAACTACTGAAACAAACACTTCTCACTGCTGGATATGCAACTGCAGAGTAAATGATACTGAAATAAATATCCTGAAACACTATTAAAACATTATCGAAAGACAACTGAAACTCCCCTTAAAACATGACACATTTTTTGTAAATGTTACAATTTTCCTGAAACAATATTGAAACATTAAACAAAAGACAACTGAAACATTGTTACAACTCGCCAAAAACATTATTGAAACAAAACTAAAACATTATTACAACTTAAAACTTAAAATGCTATTAAAATAATACTGAAACATTGTACAACTCTCCTGAAACATTGACACAACTGTCCTGACATGAAACATTGTTAAAAGTTCTCTGAAATGCTGTTGAAAAACAACTGAAGCATTGTTACAACTCGCCTAAAACATTACTGAAACAAACCTAAAGCATTGTAATATTACTGAAAGAAACAACAGAATTTTTTTGTTTTGTTTAGTAGCACCTCTTCTAGAATGCAATTGAAACATTACTGAAACAAACATGAAACATTGTAACTACTTTCCTGAAATGCTATTAACACTACTGAAATAATCCTCAAACATTGTTACAAATTTCCAGAAATGCTATTGAAACATTAATGAAAAGCAACTGAAACAACTCTCCTAAAACATTACTGAAACAAAGACATTGCTACAACTTTCTTGAAATGCTATAGAAACATTCCTGAAACAAAACTGAAACATTGTACATCTCTCCCGAAACATTAGACATGTTGATTTTACTGTCTTGAAACAATATTGAAACATTACTGAAAAACAACTGAAACATTGTAGCAACTCTCCCTGAAACGCTTTTGAAACATTACTGAAACATTGTAGCAACTCTATAAAAACATTACTGATACATTACTGAAACATTGTAACAGCTCTTCTGAAACCAACTTGCAACATTGTTACAACTTTCTTAAAACACTATTAAAACGTTACTGAAAGAAACAGCTGAATTTTCTTCTGAAAAACAACTGAAACAAATCTCCCATAACACTACTGAAAAGATTCTGAAACTCTACTGAAACTTGATCTGGGCATTATGTTTTGGAGTGTGTGAGTGTATCATCATCATCATCAGTATGTCCACCAGAGCCGAGCTGCCGCTCTGCTGCTCTACGTGTGGAGAGTCGTGTGTGTTTGGAGAGCACCGGTCTAGCATCTGCTCCTGCAAGAAGCTCAGCTTAACCCCACGTCGGAGCTCTGAAGGTGGCCTGATGTCTCTGTACTCTCAGAGAGAAAGCAGCATCACCCGGCCTCTCCGTCTGGAGCTCCTGGACGCCCTGAGTTTGGCGACCGGCCCGCTCCGGAAGATCCTCATCCAGCGAGATTCACCCTCCGCTCTTCCTCCAGTTCTGGCAGTCGCCGTGAGCTCCAGAGCTCCAGAAATGGAGGCAGACTCCGGTCACGCTGTGGCCCGGCTGGGTGTGCCATGGCTGGGCAGGCTGGCTCTGGAGGCCCGGCTTCAGCAGCTGGCTCTGGAAGTCCAGGAACGGGTGTCGCTCAAACTGGAGGTACTTCAGGAGGAGGTGAAGAGGAGGAGCGCGGAGGTGCGGAGAGCCAGAAGAGAGAGCGAGAAAATGCTGACCGAAAAATATGAGGTGGAGAAAAGAGCGGCTCAACTGGAGAGACAAGTGGACATTTCTGTGGAGATGCTGGCGAGTCTGAGATATGAGCTGAGCGATCGAGACGAGCAACTACGCAGAAAACAACAGTGAGTGTTCAAATGAATGATGCATTAATGCTAGCACTGAGGGGACGCTTCAGTACAGTACAGATCACCGCTATAGAGGCCCGTTCTCATCCAACACGATAACTTAATAATACAGCACGCTAATAATAGAAGAATAAACACACTTGTGTTTAGGCATTGGCCGGTGTAAGATTCTGATGCTATGATAATCTTTGATGAAAATATCTCGGTTTTACTGCATCACAGTATCGTGATTACTACCCTTCATACCATATATTTTTATGACTATTTGTTTAGTTTTTTAGGGCACCAGTATCTCCAACAGCAAAAGACCCTCCACATCAGCAGCTACTGGTCAGCCCACCAGGGCAGTATAACAGAAAATGTTAGTGGTTTTACAACCTTGACTTTGCCTATCTGTGGTAAACCTTGGAACCAATATCATCCCATGCCTAGAGCTGATCAAGCACAATAGTGATAAATAAAAGGATAAATATATTTGTGATATTGGATAAAAATAACATTGCAATATTTTGTTTTTAATTATCGACAACAATATCAAGTATGGCACATCGCACTTTTTTACACAGCTAATACAGATTTTTTCTATGGAAATGAAGAAATGTCTCAGAAGAATCAGAAGAAATGTCGTTATTGCAATACTTAACGACAACAATATTGAATATCGCATATTTTTCTACAGAAATGTTCTATCGTAAGAAATATCATTTCGTAATACTTAACAATATTGAATATCGTTCTATGGAACTGTTATATTGTAAGAAATATCGTTATTGCAGTACTTAACAACAATATTGAATATCACATTTTTCTACAAAGCTCTACATAGCTCGTTCAATGGAAATGTTATATCATAAGAAATTAAAACTTATCAACATCAATATCAAATATTGCATATTTTTTCACATAGCTAATTAAAATTCATTTTTTTTGTAAAAGTTATATCGTAACATATTTTTAGTACAATACTTAACGACAACAATATCAAAAATGACATATTTTTCTTCATAGCTTATATAAGTTGAATTTTTCTATGGAAACATTATATCGTAAGAAATATCGTTATCGCAATACCTAAACAACAGTATCGAATACCGCACATAGCATACTTTTCTACATAGCTTAAAAAAATTGCATTTTTTTATGGAAATGTTATATCGTCAGAAATATTGCCTTTGCAGTACTTATCGACAACATTATCAAATATCGCACGTCATTTTTTTTTTACATGGCGCATATCGATTTTTTTTCTATGGAAAGTTATATCGTAAGAAATGTCGTTATCGCAATACTTAACAACAACGTCAAATATCACATATTTTTCTATGTAGCTCACAAAAAAATTTTTTTTGGGGGGATATATCGTAACAACTATTATCACAATACTTAGACAACATTATCGAATATCGCACATTTTTCTACACACTGTAGCTTTTAAAAGTTAAATTTTTCTATGGAAATATTACATCATAAGAAATATCATTATCGCAATACTTATCAATATTAATATTGAATATTACATATTTTTAACATAGCTTACATTGATTTTTTTAGGGAAAACTATATCGTAACAAATATCCTTATTGCAACACTTATCGACAACAATATCGAATATCACATACTTTTCTACAAAGCTTATAAAAGTTTATTTTTTTCTATTGAAATGTTATATTGTAAGAAATATCAATATCACAGTACTCAACAACATATTATTAAGTATTGCATATTTTCCTACATAGCTAATAATTTTTTTTTTTTATGGAAATTTTAAATTGTAAGAAATATTGTTATTGCAGTACTTATCAACAACAATATCAACTATCACATATCGCATATTTTTCTACATAGTTAATAGAAGTATACATTTTTAGAGAAAAGTTATATTATAACAAATATTATCGCAATACTTATTGACAACAAAATTGAATATCACATTTTTCTACATAGCTAATAAAAATATAAGTTTTTAATGGAAATGTTATATCATAAGAATTAAAAATTTATCAACATCATTATCTAATATTGCATATTTTTTCACATAGCTAATAAAAATTAATTTTTTTAGGGAAAATTATATCGTAACAAATATTTTTATTGCAATACGTAACGACAATAATATCAAAAATGACATTTTTCTACATAGCTTATAAAAGTTTAATTTTTCTATGGAAACGTTATATCGTAAGAAATATCATTATCGCAATACCTAAACAACAATATCGAATATCGCACATAGCATACTTTTCTACATAGCTTATAAAAACAGCATTTTTCTATGGAAATGTTATATCGTAAGAAATATCATTATCGCAATACTCATTAATATCAATATTGAATACTGCATATTTTTTTACAGTAATAGATTACATAGATTTTCTTAGGGAAAATTATATCGTAACAAATATCCTTATTGCAATACTTATCGACAACAATATTGAATATCACATATGTTTCTACATAGCTAATAAAAGAAGAATTTGTTTAGGGAAAAGTTATATTGTAACAAATATCGTTATTGCAATACTTATCGACAACACTATTGAATATCATATGTTTCTATAAAGCTTATAAAAGTTGTATTTTTCTATGAAAATGTTATATAGCAAGACATATCGATATTGCAGTACTTAAAAATATCAAATATCGCACATTGCATATTTTTCTGCATAGATAATAAAAAAAATCTTGAAAACGATATATATCGTGCCAAATATCGTTATCGCAGTACCTTGTACAGATTATTGCATATTATCAAATAGCCAGTTAACCTGTTTTACACACTGTTTTAAGTGTAAACATTTGAGTCCTTTGCGACAGATGGTGTGTGAGATGCATGTAAATGTGTGTGTTTGTGTTTAAGGGAAGTGTGTGAGCTGGACAGGTTTGTGCGAGACACGGCACTGCAGGAAGCGAGTGCAAAGATCCGTCTGCAACGTTTCATTGAGGATCTGCTGGAGCGAGCGGAGAGAGCAGAAACACAGCTGCAGAACATACACAATGATGTCACTTCCCCTCACAGACACCTGACAGGAAGTAGAGCCGCAGGATACCAGGTCAGATAGACCCAGAGCATGTTGTGCATGTTGAAGTCATCAAACGAGGGCTCCTATTATGGTTTAACATAATATTGTAAGAATTTAACAATCCACGACGCTCATGATTTATGACACTGAGCTCACAATAAGATCTTTTTTACATTTTTGCTAACAAAATGAGTTGAGACAATTTACAAATGAACAAAAAGTACTGAAAAAAATCTTCTCTTAGTCAAAGTTGTTTCTCTTAGTTGTTTCTAGT